AAAATGACTGCAAGAATGTAGACTAATGCTTTGTCTCTGAATATGTATAATTTTGATTGTAACAAATAAACCTGTTTAAATTGAAAAGGAGCCCCAATGAGACAGGAGACTAAACCTGAGGAAATCTAGACTTGCTTCATTTAGGGCTTTAGCATTGCAGGGAGGGCTTGGCAGTAGGGAAAATAATGTGGCTCAGGGACTGTGATACAGACAAGCAAGACTAGTTCAACTTCCTTGTCCTAGACCCATAACGTAACTCACAAACTATGTTATCTTCCAAAATGGGATTTCCTGTTATTTAAAATTGCCACACGCATGTTAAGCTGTAAGATAGCGAGTCCCACAGGATAAACAGATTGATGGGCTCGAAAAATAGGATTTTCATCATTAGAGTTTGTCAAATTTATTTCATTTTCATGGTGAGTACTACTTCGCCAGGGGGCTCACATTGTAACCCAGGTGGATAACTGAAACCAGGCCTTCGCCGTGATGAGTGAACGCTTTAACCACTAGGCTACCCAACCGCCCCTGTGATAAGTAGAAAATGACATAACCCAGGTGGATAACTGAAACCAGGCCTTCATCACAGCAGATGGTGACATCTTTTAATTAAGATAATGACATCACAGCAGATGCCGTGATGAGTGAACGCTTTAACCACTAGGCTACCACAACCGCCCAATGACATCTGTGATAAGTAGAAAATGACATCACAGTGACATCACAGATGATGACATCTTTAGTAGATGAAAGGACATCACAGTAGATGATGACATCTTTAGTAGACAATGACATCACAGTAGATGATGACATCTTTAGTAGACAATGACATCACAGCAGATGATGATGATATCTTTAGTAGACAATGACATCACAGTAGATGATGACATCTTTAGTAGACAATGACATCACAGTAGATGATGACATCTTTAGTAGACAATGACATCACAGTAGATGATGACATCTTTAGTAGACAATGACATCACAGTAGATGGTGACATCTTTAGTAGACAATGACATCACAGTAGATGATGACATCTTTAGTAGATAAAGACATCACAGTAGATGATGACAACATGTAGACAATGACATCACAGTAGATGATGACAACATGTGTAGACAATGACATCACAGTAGATGATGACAACATGAGTAGACAATGACATCACACTGGATGATGACAAACAGATGATGAAGTCACACTAATTGATGACAACATGTGTACACAATACGTTAAGATGATGACATCATAGATGATGACAACATGTGTACACGATACGTTAGGATGATGACATCATAGATGATGACAACATGTGTACACGATACGTTAAGATGATGACATCATAGATGATGACAACATGTCTTCACTCTGCCATTGTTGGCATCACGTGGGCATATTCTACATGAGTTTCTGAGTCAAGGACACCAGTACAAATGATCATCATAGCTTAAACTGGGAGTGTTACTTTCTTGAAACTTGATTGCAACATAATTATTTCCCGCAGCTATTGCCTATGAAATTCTGAATTATTTTTAAGTATAATGAAAGCCGTTAGCCAGAAACTACAGCAGCATACAGCCCGGGTTGTGTAATACTGTTGCAATTGAGTTTCCATATTTTTTTCGAAATAAAAGCATTACACCAAGCATGTAACATTGGAAAAAGCATGTCAACAAATAAGTGAGTGAGTGAGTGAGTTTGGTTTTACGCTGCTTTTAGCAATATTCCAACAATATCACGGCGGGGAACACCAGAAATGGGCTTAACACATTGTACCCATGTGGGGAATCAAACCCGGGTGTTCGGCATGACGAGCGAAAGCCTTAACCACTAGGCTACCCCACCGCCCCTCAACAAAGAACTAGACTAACACACATACTAGAACTATCATTACATTACTTTGTAAGTGCCAAACATATTTCTTGCTTTAAAGTTTTAAACCATTTCAATTTGTCAATTAATATGTCGTTTCATACTTTGTATAATAATTTTGAAGAAACTGTAGTCAAGTTGATTGCCAGATCACATCAACTCACCATTATCAAAAGCAAATGTAACCATGTTACAGTCTCTGACACCTTGAAATTAACGTTAGTCGTCTGAGAAGTCATTAATACCATGTCTGTATCATTAATGTCAAACTTCTACAAATGTTGGGTCATGACGTCTCTGGATATATATAATTGTGATAGAAACAAGGAGCCCCAGTGAGATGGGAGATTCAGACTGACTGACTGACTGACTGAGTTTGGTTTTACGCCGCTTTTAGCAATATTCCAGCAACATCACAGTGGGGGACACCAGAAATGGGCTTCACATATTGTGCCCATGTGGGGATTCGAACCCGGGTCTTCGGCGTGACGAGTCAACGCTTTAACCATTAGGCTACCCCACCGCCCCCGGGAGATTCAGAACCCGAGGAAATCAAGCCTTGCTTCATTAAGGGCTTTAGCGTTACAGAAAGGGCTGGGTGAATGGAAAAATAATGCGGTCTAGGGACTGTCATAGACTAGGTCTTAGCTTTTTTTATGACTATATTAAGTCGCACATTTTGATACTTAGCATGACTTGCACACTCATCATAATCTCGGTGTGAGTGAGTGAGTGAGTTTTAGGTTTACGCCGCTTTTTAGCAATATTCCAGCAATATCACGGTGGGGGACACCAGAAATGGACTTCACACTTTGTATCCATGTGGGGACTCGAACCCGGGTCTTCAGCGTGACGAGCGAACGCTTTAACCACTGGGCTACCCCACCGCCCCTTATCTCGGTGTGAAGAAATCTCTGCTTCAAATTTATTCAGATGGTTGTGTCTGAAGATTCAGCACTATTATTCATATATTAATGGTTCACTTAACCAGAAATATTACTTGACCTTGAATTCAATGGATGAGTAAGTGGATATCATACGCTCATTGTAATTCATTACTCAAACGAGAATAGATCCCCCCCCATTTAATATACCTACTTTTTGACACACTGTTTAATACTGAAGTGCTGATGTTCAGATGAATTAGGCTTAAAAACTAACATCGAAAACTCACAGCATCACTTGGCTTATTCAATGATGCTGCATGTACAGACAATACTGACTGACTGACTGAGTTTGGTTTTACGCCGCTTTTAGCAATATTCCAGCAACATCCAACGGGGGACACCAGAAATGGGCTTCACACATTGTGCCCATGTGGGGATTCGAACCCGGGTCTTCGGCGTGACGAGCCAACGCTTTAACCATTAGGCTACCCCACCGCCCCGTACAGACAATAGATCACTGAGAGGAGCTTATGCACACTTAATGTCCTAAGCATCATTGCTACTCAACTGACATCAGATGGCAATGTTTCGAGGGTGAATTCTAAAGGTACGATGTTGTATGGAATTAAATAATTAAGCATCAACTTTCAATGAGTTTCAGTTTCATTATACTGTTAACGCGATTTCATTATGCTGTGGATCACACTACCGACACAGTTTATTGATAGAATCTAAAATTACAATTAAATGGGTGAGTGAGTCTAGTTTTACGCCACAATCAGCAATATTCCAGCTATATGACGGCGGTCTGTAAATAATGGAGTCTGGACCAGACAATCCAGTGATCAATAGCATGAGCATCGATCTGCACAATTGGGAACCGATAACATGTGTCAACCAAGCCAGCAAGCCTGACCACCTGATCCTGTTAGTCGCCTCTTACGACAAGCATGGGTTACTGAAGATCAATATTCTAACCCAGACCATCACAGGTCACAATTAAATAAGGTTTAAAAAGTTACAAATATTCAATAAGATACTAAAATCGCTCCCGTGTAATACCAATTTCCTGAAACTCGTAAATAGTTCATGTTACTGACTCACTTCTGTCTGCTATATATTTGCCAGAAATATTCACTCATTTCATCAAATTAATATAACATACGAGCTTGTTCAGTATTCTATATATTGGCTGTAATATTTGAAATGTGTCAGTGAGGTTTTACACTTCCAGCAATATCATGGCGTGGGACACCAGAAATGGGAATCACAGTACCCAGGAGGGGAATAGTGGGTGAGTGAGTTTAGTTTTAGGCCGCACTACTCAGCAATATTCCAGCTATATGGCGGCGGTCTGCAAATAATAGAGTCTGGATCAGACAATCCAGTGATCAACAGCATGAGCATCTATCTTTGCAATTGGGAACCGATGACATGTGTCAACCAAGACAGCGAGCCTGACCACCCGATCCAGTTAGTTGCATCTTACAACAAGCATGGCTTACTGACCCAATTCTAACCCGGATCTACACAGGTACATAAGGGGAATAGAACTCAGGCTTTCAGTGTGACCAGCGAATGCTTGAACCATCACCCCACCCACCCCACCCCCATTTGAAATGATGACATACATATGCAACCACTCATTCAAAACATGAGTCATGTCAATTTCATTTTGATCTAACAAACAAGCTAAAACAAGACTATATGACAAGACTTAAAAGTACCAAAAATTAGGCAAAGATAGCTTTCAGAAAGGCATAATAATCATTGTAGTTATTGTGCAAGTATCAAGCACAATTTCACACTTTACCACAGTTTTAAATATTTTTTTAAAAGCAAACTTTATTTGTCAGCTGTTCAACAATTTGGATTATTTATGATGTGATATTATTCTTGTTTCCGATTCCCTGACCATGTAAACAAAATAAGTCCACCGCCAATAATCACTGGCAAGGTCAGGTCATTGAGAACATTCACTCGTCATTATGCTGTAATATAATTCATAAATGTCACTCACAATGTCATGACATATTCCATACAACTATTTTCATGTTATATTCATGAGCAACATTTTGAAAAAATATATCAATTAGAAAATTGAAAACTTTGATAATTAGAACCTATGTCTGAATCACAGCAGCACATATGGGATCAAACACAAAATCATTTCAAGTTAAGGTGAAGCACATTAATGTCAAATTGCTCTGAATGTTTAAAAAAGAGGGTAAGAAACTCACCATTTTGTATTTTTTTGTCCCTTTTCAGTATGCTTAACTTCTCACTGAAGGACTTAGCTCGATTCAGTCTAAATGACTTTGCTGTCCAAGAGCTGGTCATTTCAAATGTGAGTGTGGGTCATCTCAAGATGACCAGGAGTCTCAATGCGGCTCCAGCAAGACATGTCACATCAATAGAGACAATCTGCTGTCACTTCTTCATAATGCTCCTTAAAAGGAAAATCCACCATGTCAATGATCCATGCAAAATTCTGAAACTACATTTCTAAGAGCTCAAGAAGGAAATGAATTCTTTAAATTGTAATGTCTTGTTGAAAGCAAATTTTATTGATATAATATTGCAGTTAATTATGCATTAAACTTTAGCTCCTACAGCAAAATGATTTGGAAATATACTATTTCATTCTCTCCATAAATCACAAATTCATTTTTTTAAATCATGGCATACAAATTCTAAGAAATACTGCTGAAAACTTAATAAATTATTATTTTTAGCAATCAGACAAATCGTTTCTAAGAATAATAAATTTGAATAACAAAATTCCAAGCCAGTGTCACTCTATGACAAGCTAAGCATACATAACAATAAATATGTCTTATAACTAACAATTGAACACTGAAATTGTCTTCGCGATCAATGCAACATCGATAAATCTGTCTGCAAAACATGTATTCTAAACATTCTTTAGAATATTAACTTATAGATAAGAAATGTTCACTTATCAGTGAAAATGTCCAAATTCAACCATTATTGATTCCTGAATCCAAATTCCTTGTAACACAAAACTCTCGCACCCACAATGAAATACATTATGTGAAATCTGCTGGCTGTGGTCTTCCGTCACTGTAATTGACGATCTTTACATGGCAGAATCCCATTAAGACCGTGACAGTTAACTGCAATAACTCACAATGACAAAACTTATGACACATGTCAACCAGAATCAACAAATCCTACCTTGACAAACACACCATCGTCATACACATACTGAAATTGATCACCCCAGGCTATGTACATCATGAAATATATTCCTGCTGATGTATACAGTCTTTCTCTGTCCAGCTGTTACCTAGAGCAAAACATAACTAACCCCACGTAACTTGATATGCAGAGAGGAAATCTACGACTCCATTGAGGCACTGCTGGGAGAATGTCAATCAAACATGTTAACCTAAATCAGGATGTTCATTTCACGTCACCACTGTAATAAACGAAATGTGATCCGCAACTTTGATAAACAAAAACCATATCTCCAGAAACCTTGAGATGAAATTGATGATTACCAGATATAACAAAGAATGTCAGATTTATTACAACATATAATACAACCCTCGATGATTGTTGATAACAAAATGCTAAACTTGGTTATATGTTATAAAAACATTCTCGCATTCCCATTATGTCGGCAGTCAAAACAAGAACCCGTTGGAGGCAAATACGAACACCTAAATAGTATTTGGTGACTTACATGTTTTGATAACCAATCAGAACGTCTGTGTGTATGAACACAGCATGTGATATCAGATATTTGTGACATTGTCCCTCATGGATAGTGGAGTCGGTGAAGCTTCAAGACATGGATATTTGAGAGACATTATCAGAAAGACCTCTGTAATCTATCTTGTAGATATGTGAGATTAAACTGTGGACAAAAATAACTTTGTTTGCTGCTTATAACAGTTCTTACAATGCCAATTAACAAAAGTGTTTGTCAGTTTGAACATGATAATCAAACAATTCACAAACAATAATCTGCTTTCACTATTTAAGTTGGAAACTGCATATAAAGATCCTGTTTAATATTGCTCTTCCTCAACCCATGCTTATTGTGAAAGGGACCGCCTCCGTGGTGTAGTGGTTAGAGCGTCCGCCCGGAGAGCGGAAGGTCATGGGTTCGATCCCCGACCGCGTCATACCAAAAGAACGTTAAAATATGGTACTTGTTGGTCCCTGCCTGGCTCTCGGCATTGATGGGTACAACAAGGACTGGTCGGCTCGGAGTCAGTATAATGTGTCTGAGTGGGGTATTCATGCTTCACTGCGGCATGGTATCTCAGTGGGCTAGCACTATAAAACCAGCTTCAGTCTGGGCTAGTACATGCAGCCGCACATACACATACACACATGCACGTCGTCATATGAGCGAAATATTCTCAAGCACGACGTAAAACCAATTTCACCTCACCTATTTGTGAAAGGCCTTCAACTGTATCTGTGGTCAGGCTTCCAGCTGTGATGTATTTATAGATCACAGGATTGTTTGGTACAGACTAGGGGTGTCACGATTCGGTTCGGTTCATCGAAAATCGAATCGGTAGATGTACGATTCGATCTCGATATCAAATGCATCCATTTCGATTCGATTCATAAAGTACTTACTTTCTAATACTGAGAGTTTATTTCACCTGAAATCGTAAGAATATATGTTGAAAATTCGCTGCTACAAGTGTGGCCAGTGAGAGGGTATGCTCCACTGCCGGAGACATTGTAAGTGCCCAGAGGGCATGTCTTTCAAGTGAAAATTCCTTACAGTGACATCACAGTCACAATGAACACTTGACACCACAGTTCGTGACTGAAACTTAATTTCATGATCACTTGTTCAGTGAGTATTTGTTGACAACTTGTCTTGACAGTGTTCTAATTATGCATTGTGCCAATTTTCCAAAGTTGGCACAACACATTTGACTTTGTCCTCAGCTTCGGTGAATCGAATCGAAATTAATCGAATCGAACAAATTGAATCGATATCCGCATCGAATCGAAGTGAGAGTGAATCGTGACACCCCTAGTACAGACTTGATTATTTACAGACATCAAAAAGCTGGAACATTGTCAGTGGAGACATTAAACACCCAATAATGAATGTCTTTCTTGAAAATACAGCTTGTCTTTAATATTTAGGAAACACATAGCTTGTCACAGTTGTCCCCACCAAATGTCAGTTGCATGTGCGACATTGACGAGGGACGATATTGTCAACTTCTGAACCGGGATACAGCCAATATGTTTTTCTTGATATTATACATAATTTCTCAAGTCATTTTTACATATCTGTCCATTTTCAGTGTGGATGCGTAAGTTTGATATACATGTAAACCCTGTGTTGCACCTTTGGTTGGTTAATTTGGAAATATGTGTGATATTGTTGAAAAAGAGATTTTAATCTTCTCAATTTGCTAAATTCTGAGGTTTGGAGAAAGTTCAAATTCAAATTGGTTATTTTTACTGTAATGTTCAACAGACTTGGGGCTAAATGTCATTCTCTTAGGTCCAGATAATTCCCTGATACAAGTTAATCAAAAATAGTATCGCACAATAGCACTACTAATCAAGAAAGGTATAAATTACCTATTGCGAAAGTCACATATAATGATTATATGTCTGAAGTTGTAGTGCATGAATTACAACCAACATAAATGTCCTTCATTTGTTGTTAATGACCTCACGGTAAATAACATCCAAACGTAATTAAAACATGCAAACTCCGAACAAATCCACAACAAATATCAGAAATTGTTATCTGCGACCGACCTGGCAATGAGTAATGGCTACAGACCACTCTAACCTCTCCAGTTACGATAAAGGTGAAATTTACATGCATTAATATCAAGTCAGTGGTGTCAAGTGAGATGGATGGCACGGCGACCCGCGAGGACCAGGAATGGTCAGTTTGAATATCTTCATCACCCACTTCATCACTGTTCATTAGACTCAGCCATTTTCTCGATGATGAATGAGGAACGAGCTACAAGTCGAGCGGCTCTTTTTGATCAAGTGATCTCCTCCAGTGAACAAACTAATGTCTTGTGTCAAAACATTACGACCCCAAATAATTTTGAGCACATTTCAATATTTGAGTAGAAAGGTTTAATATCAGGAACGCAAACAATTCTGCAATGTTTTAGCTCTTCGATATCATTTTTTGCAAATAACTGTCGGACAGAATGACAAACAACCAGTTTGCTTAACGGTTGACTTTAAGCATTATGTAACTATATGAGTTAATATCGATCATTAACTTCATCTCATAAGATGTCATCTATATCAAGCTTATGACAGAGGATTAATCTTAGTCGAGTGTTTTTAGCTGACAAAGTTCTGGATGTTATGTGAATCATCAATTTATGTATTTTGGAAATTAAATGAATTTTGTAAAAACAGCTTTGAAATTATGAGTGAGGTGGGTTCGATGTGACTTTGAACAACTCTTCAGTTGTACTTGTTTGTTTGTTAATACCGCGATGTAAATAATCGAGTATGGACAAGACAATCCAGTGATCAACAGCATGAGCATTATGTATTCTGTTGGGATACGATGACATGTGTCAACCATGTCAGCAAACCTGACCACCCGATCCCGTTAGTTGGCCTCTTACAACATGCAGGGTTTACTGAAGATCAGTTTCAATTAAACTGGGAGGAAAGTCCATGGTGATGCAATTAAGTATTTGTGATGTCCATGGTGCTTACAAACTTAGGGATCTGGGACTGGAACCATCATGTACTATGCATCTCACCCAGCAGGGGAGGTAACTGACTACAGCAGACCAATTTCAATCCTTACCAAACTAATCTGGAATTAAGAGTTTTATGGGGTTTATTTGCTGACTGAATGGAACTATGCATCAACATCTTGCCATTTTTCATAAGAAATAGGGGCAGTGGGGTAGCCTAGGGGTTAAAATGTTCACTCGTTACCCAGAAGGCCTGGGTTCGATTCCCCACGTGGGCACAATGCGTAAAGCCCATTTGTGTTGTCCCCTGTCGTGATATTGCTGGAATATTGCTAAAAGCGGCGTAAAACCCAACTTACTCACTCACTCATAAGACATAAGGTTTTCTTTGATGCTTTTCTGTTCAGTTTGATATAGATTCTGTCAAATTCAGCACTAAAGAGAAGACAATTACTGGAAGGGAGATAACTCTATGGATACTGACTGAAGGCAAATGAGTACAAATGGTTTCCTACAAACTCAAAAAGCTTTTTCCTGAGCTATGTAAAGATATATCCGTCCTTCCTAATCCACTTGAAATAGGGATAACAAAGGACTGAGTATGTTTAGATGCCAATTTGGGCAATATTTCAGCAGTATCCAAAAAGATACCAGCAAAAGACTTCACACTGTACCCATCAAACCTCGCTTTAACCACAAAGCTACCCCACTTCCTTACAAATGAAACCTCATTTCTATATACACCTGATAT